TGCCCCCACGTGGCTGCGAACATCAGCTCAAATCAAACCCACAGAAAAATAGAGTATAAGTCTTGTAATAGTTCATCGAATTGAATCAAGGAAAATGGCCCAAATGGAAAACAGATGGCTAGAGAGGTGCATCCAGAGCTGTTAGACAGATTTCTCATTGACTTAGGAATTATTACATATGCATCTGAACACAGTAGATGTGAAAATGACTTTCCTTACGCTCTTTCCAACAGCTTAGAGAAGTGACTTACTCCACTTATTTTGCTCAATTTGGTAGGAGTAGTGTATGTTCTAAATACAATCTTTAGTTTTTGTTTCCTCATTCGTTAAGTATCAAGAGCAAGGGAGTACATGATTCTACATTTTGTAGATGTGGAGGGTTAGGAAATAAATGTTGGCCAAATGCAAAAAATTAAAATTTGACAAAAGAGTGTTATGCTCAGACTGCAAGAATGTGTTGGGTGACAGAATAGAACATGTAATTGTGACAGCATCCTTTTAAAATCAGTTTCCCAAAATCTGTTTGTGGTGCTTGAGTAGTTAAGTGTCATATTCACTTAGGATGCATTTTCTGATCCTGCAAAGGCTGGTTAGTGAAGCAGAGGCAGCGAAGAGAGTGCCGTGGAAGGTGGAGTGAATGGTCTTCACCTGTCTTCTAGCTAACTCAGTCATGGCTCTGAACAGAAATCCAGTGCAGACGGGTTGAAGCCTTGAAGGGAGACTGAAAAGGAGAAGAGACAATGTGATGAGGATATTTATGGTCCTCTGAGAAATACCATCTCTTTTAGACTCCTGCCCTTTCTCCAGTATGATTAAGCAATGGCTTTTCTTTCTCAGGTATCAGATTTTATTCAAGCAGTGTGTGGGAACAGAGGATGTCTTCTTGGGGATGAGCAGGAAAGACCCCTCCACAGCCTGCTGTGAAGATATGGTGGTGAGCTGAACCTGTATATCCCAGTCCTTCTTTGTGCTCTTTTTCTGCCCTTTTCAATCTTGTTGTCTTCTTGAGGGACAGAATGCAAACACCAAGCTGTATTGCTGCTGTTGGCATCCTGTAGGATTTTCTTGTAGTTCGTCAAGCATTTGCAGATATTTACACTTGCTAACTGGAGGAACTCGTGTATCTCCTCAAGGACCTAGCGTACTCAAGAGAATCTGTGCAAATGCATATGCCACGTGCAGACTTGAGGGAAATAAAAAGGGAAGGAGAACTGCTGTGCAATTTTTTTAGTAGAAGCAAGCTGTCCGTGGAATACACAAAGCCAGGGGGTTTTGCTGGATGTAGATTACCTGTCAAGTACATTATCAGCTCAGGATTTTGAAGAAAATAGGATATCAATGCACATCACTAAGCTATTGAAAGCAATAATTATCACTGTCATATTTTCTCAGATACAAATTACCTACTCAGAATGTTGCTCTTTGACACTAGCTTCAAAATATTCACAAAGATGAGATCTTTTATGGCTTGTAGGTCTACATATCTAGTCACAGCTTTACCTCTGCCCATCATTTCAGATTAAAATCAAGCTGCCAGAGACAAAGCACTCAGACATCGCATTAGATATCCTGGACAAGGTTCTCGACCTTCGAACTCCCAAAAAGTAAGTGAAACACAATTGATAGAAGTACAGTTAATATCTTGTTTGAAAGGAGCTTTAACCAAGCCTTCAGCTGAATGCTGTGTGTAAAGCAAAGCTAAAGACGAAGATTGGATTATTAATTGCACATGAGAAATAGATACAGACAAAACAATCATAGTTCATCTGTAGGTTGTACAGAGTGCTAGCTTTGAATCTATGATACTGTTCTAGCAAAAATGGCTTTAAGACAGATTTTGGTTACTTAAAAAGCAAAGCTTCAAGGGCCCAAAATGTCTGGCAAAAAAACCTGCCTGTGGTCTTGAAGGACGTCGTGGGCGTTTCACTATCTTTCACTATAACTGAAGATAGTGAAAATGTGTTGTTAAGGAAGATTTGTAGCCCAGTCATTCAGTAAGGAGTCTGGGACACACACACACACATACCCCACCAAAGACTTTGACTGCTGGACAACTGTTTATATCTGATGGAAGAGACACAGTGAGTGAGGAGGCCTCTCCCATGAGCCATGAGGTTCAAAGTACCCTTGCTTTCTAAACTCCTTCTCAGGGAGGAGTCTAGGTGCAGCTAGGTCCAAACTTGATCTCAGACTTGGTCAACAGTTTATGTCTTCTCTAAAGGATTGGATAGGACAGTTTCATTAGTATCAGTTCAACATGTAATCAAAGTTACTAAGGCAAAATCAAAGTCCCGTTCATCTCCCTTTCGCACATCCACGCACACACTTGTAGGCTGATTCCTAGGTTTCCCCAAAGCAGAGTCAGCAGCACGATATACTCCAGATGAATTTACTGGGTGGTACAGCGGTGAGGAACAGCTCGAGCTGGGTGCCTCTGAAGAGGCAAACAAAGAAAATACCCCAAACAAAGAAATACCCTTGCAATCTAAGTTCCCCTCCTCTCTTGCCATCCATCAGTCCAGTAGTTTGGGTCTGGGGTCTTCCTGTTTCTCATTGGATTCTTTTTCTGTCTCCAGGCAGACCATTCCTTTTCTTATCTTGATGGTTGCACTTTCTGCTGATGGATGTGGCTCCCTCATCTTTCTGGTTTACACCGGTTTCGGGGCCTTCTTTGTGTAGCTGAGTAACAGTTCAACAGGAGTTCAGCACATCAAGGTGAAAGTTCACAGCTTGCAGCCTAAGGCTCCAGCAAGTCTTGCTACTAACGCTAAGCAACGAATTCCGTTTGGGCTAGAAAATGACTACTACAACGTGCAGATACATTTTCAGAAGTTGAAAGAGATTTCTTTTGATTTCTTTTTTTATAGAGCCATTTCAAACCTACAAAGCTCAGCAGCTGCCTGATTGCTCTCAGATTTCTTAGTCTTCTTCCCTATTTCCCTGAGTGTGCAACTGCCTTACCTGAGATTTCCAGAAAATTCCCATGTCTGTTTTGTTTTAGGTCCTTCACATCAGAGTGCTTTTGTAAGAAAAATGCTCTCCTCTCTGGGCTGACTTACTGCATTGAGTGGTATGTGGGAAGATCCATATGTGAATAGCTTCCTGCAAATAAATTCAAGGTGCAAGCCATGGATTAAGGCCCAAATAATTTCTGCTGTCCCTAGTGGACTAACTACAGAAAAGCCACCTTTCTCACAGACAAAACCAGCTCGAGTCAGTTACCCTCTGCTTGGATTTAACCCAAAGATGCAACGGAAGTGGAAGAAAGTTTGGAAGTGTGTGCTGGGTTTGTGTGATGGGGTTTTGATAGCAGGGTAGGGTCTGCAGGGATAGTGCCTGTAAGGAGATGGGAGAAGCTTCCTCAGCTCCAAAAAAGGTCGGACCAGTCTGTGGCCAGGTTGGACCTGCCTTTGGCAAGGGCTGAGTCAATCAGCACCTCTGTGAATAAACACATTGAAGAAGGGGACAAAGAAACCTGTGCCATGCAAGACCTGCAGTGAACAGAGGGGAAGGTGGGGTAGCTGGCCCTGCCTCCGCCGGTGGCTGCCTGAGCTGGACTGTTGCCACGCGACCGGTGATGGCTGTGGTGGCGTGACTGGGAGAGCTCCCAAGGGCCCCGCTCCTGGCGCACACGCTGGGCGGAATTCGTCCTGCTGGGACTGCCAAGGTTCGTCAGGCCGAATGGGCCTGTTGCAGCTGCAGAGGAGAGAGGACTGAGATCTGAGAGAAATGGCTACGCAGGCACCAGGTCAATGAAGATGGAGTGGGAGGAGGTGCCAGAGTCAAGATTCCCCTGCAGCCCATGGTGAGACGGCAGGCTGTGGCCCTGCAGCTCATGAAAGAAACAGTGGAGCAGAGATCCACCTGCAGCCCATGGGAAACCCCATGGTGAAGCAGAGATGCCTGTGCCCAAAGGAGTTCATAGAGGACAGTCTCCCATGGGAAGGATTCCTACGCTGCTGGAGACTGACAGTGAAGCAGAGATGCATCTGCAGTCTATGAGAAGGGACTCCATGCCAGAGTGGATAGCTGCTTCCTAAGAAGCTGTGACTCTGTGGGAAAAGCTCACACTGGAGCAATCTGATGAGTAAGGATTGCATCCTGCAGGAAGGACTCACGTTGTAGAACTTCTTGGAGGACTGTCTTCTGTGAGGAGGGATGTCATGTGAAAGAGTGCGAGGAGTCCTCCCCCTTTAAGAAAGGAGCATCAGGAACAACGTGTGATGAACTGGCCTGCAGCCCCCATTCCCGGTTCCCCTGCGCTGCTGGGAGAGGAGGTGGAGCTGGGAAGAAGGGAGGGGTGGGGGAAGGTGTTTTTGAGATCTGACTTCATCTCTGGTCATCCTCTCTGAAGTAACTGGTAACAAATTAACTTGATTTGTCCCCAAGCTGAGTCTGTTTTGCCCAGGGCAGTGGTTGGTGGGTGATCCCTCCTTGTTCTTATCTTGACCCTCAGGCCCTTTGTTACGTTTTTCTCCTCTGCACCCCACCAGTGGTGGGTGAGTGAGCGGCTCCATGGTGGCTTAGCTGCCAGCTGAGCCAAACCACAGCAGAGTGCTAGCTCTGAAACTGGAAAATCAGGAGGAATAATTATTCAGCTAATAACTTGCAATAACTTTTACTTGTAGTATAAGAGGTAGCTTAATGCAATACTGCAAATGTAGGAAAATCTCAGCATTGTTTTTCTTTTGTAATCCTATCTTTTTGGTGACTCAGATCTGCCATTACCTTCTTAGTATCCAGCTGTCTCTAGTCACAAGCCTGGCAAATAAAAAGTTTGCCGTAAATCTAATGGTTGCTTGGGTACAGCCTGAGCCAGTTCTCACAAATACAAGTGCAAGTCTTCTCAGCATGGAAGAAACAAACAAGATTTCAAGTTCTACGTACTGAAAAACACTGTACTCTCACAGATGTGTAGGAGGGCTAAAAGGAACTGTTTCCAACTCTTTAGTCCTGAGACTCATTCTAAACCAAACTGATTTTAATGACTTCTCCAAATTATAGCAAATGGCTGCCGTCAGTAAGTGTGGTGCAAGGGTGTTTTGACTGTGCCTCTTTCAGCGATGGCTCCTACAAGACAGCTTAAAAGGTCTGAAAAAGAATCAGCATGACTTACACCCAGTTTACAGTAGCCCCCACCTATGCTACTGTGTTTTCTTGTTGGGCTTTATAGAGTTTGGCTGGGCAGATTTCTTGATTCTAAAGTGTCCTTGATTCTGTTTGCACTGTCAATAGAGTGGAGGTCCAAGACTGGCCCATCATTCGTATTATTAGTATATAAACCTGGAATAAGAGAGGAAAGAGTCCAGACTCTGCATGAGCAAGTAAGTTTGTACCGTCATCAGTGAGAAGAGTTGAATGGGTCCAGACTGAGACATCCTCGTGAGGAGATAAACTGGAGGGCTTGTCAGCCATTCAGGAAAAGCTGTATGTCTAACATAGCGAGGGACTGGGGATAGTTTGTGAGTCCAAGATCCATCCTTTCTTTGTGTATTATGTGCCTGAGCCCCAGGTAGCGGATCACTGAATTACTCTTCAATGTAGGTTAAAATGCCAGCAACTACATAACTGTAAGTCCACTCTCATACCTGAACTGTGCTTTTCTCATGCCTAAACTTTGTGCTTTTTGTAGACATATCCTTTGCAACTGGACTGGCCAGAATCTCTAATCAAGCTGCACCACTGATTTCTTTTTACTAGAGAAGACAAACTCCTGAAGACTTGTTCAGGCTTTAGAGGTTATTCAGATTATTACCACCAGGATATCATCGTCAATGCAGCTCCTCCTTTCTCTGCATTTAAAATGCAGCACTGTGCCAAAGCAAGAGCAGCAGATAGACATCACAATTCATGGCTGGAAACCGTTGTCATAGCCACAGCCAAAAGAAATGAATACTGTTGGAAATGTTTCAGGGCCTGTGCAGCTGTGCAGCAGGTATTGCAGGAACCCCACAATGTGTCATGAGAGTGAGATATACTGAAAGAACATTCTTTGTTGTACTGATTGGCGAATTGCAAGAGTAACTTGCAATGCTGTCTCAATTGCTCACTCGGTCTGATACATTGAAATTCACTGTGTCCTCTTTTACAGGAAGCTGCTGCTGCACCTCCCCTATCCTGTAGACAGCAAGAACGGTAAAGCTCGTTTTCTCTCTGAAGAGGAGACCTTGGAAGTCACTTTGAGAGTATCAAGGGAGTTTGATTTCATAAATTTTATCTGATGGATAGAGAAATAGAGAAAGTTTTCAAAAAGTAATCCCTTAGTTTGAAGTCTTCTTGAAACCTAACTGGTCATGAAATTGTAGATTGTTTCCCTTGAACAGTCCAGGAGGAATACCCCTAGAAAACCTGAATGAACATAGCACCCACAGGTTCTATAAGCTGAGGCTGTCCAGCCCTTGTGCTACTCAGGTTAACATTCTGCTTCCTTCAGTCTGATACAGGCTCTGAGAATCAGGAAATAGGAGATTACAATTCTGTAAGCCAGAGAGTCTTCCTGTGGTTATGGCTGGTAACTAGCACAATGAGGCTCTGATAATGAGTCTGGTGTTTAGTTACTGTGGCAAGACTTGCAAGTGGCAATGTTCTTGCTTGGCCTCCAATGATGGGACTGAGGCCAGTTCAGGATCTCCTCTTAGCTACTTCTTGACGAGAAGATCAAAGCTCTTCAGGGATCCATATCCACATCTAAGGCTCCCATACACTGGCAGAACAAGGTAACCAACTACAGTTGGATTGTTGATCAGCTCAGCTCTTTTGAACAATTTTTGACAATGCATGGTTTGGTATCATCTATTCATCTGCTGTCCCTCCACCTATTTTACAGATTTTTCTTTATTAATAAAAGAATGTGTTCTAATGAACAGTTCCAGTTGCCTTTCACTCTGCCTTTTCTGTATTATGTCCCTAGAGACTTCCTAAAAGTGAGATAAGAAGAACTTTGTGTAACACATCATCACTTAAAGGGCTGAAATGTGGCAAAAACTTCTCTTTGGCCTTCAGGTCCAATCTAGAGCTACAGATATGGGTAACCAAGATGTTTCTCTTACTAGCTGGTGGGCAAATATATTCATTTAACGTTGTTAATCATGCAAGAAACAAAGATGTTTGCTCAATGATCGAAGTGGAAAGGGCAAGCAGGGCCTTGTATGTTGCTGGACTTCAGGTATACTTAACTAAAAGCTTGTAAGCACTTTAAAACCAAAATGCCTTGAGTCCTGCATTCTTCTGGTGAAGAAGTAGAAGAAAATAATTGACCAGCTAGGTTGCAGACAGTACCCATGCAGCTAAATTTGTGGCTGGCTGTAATGAGAAGATGAATTCTCCTTGATGGATTAAAGACACTGACAGTGAGTTTCCAGGTATATTTTTTTGTTTTGTCAGGAATTTTCAGAATTCACAGTATGTGTGTAATATACTGCATTTTAACTCTAGGACAAATTAAGCTGGTGTCTGGACATTTCAACCACTTCCCTTAAAAGCAGACCCATTGCTTGGGTCAGAATAATACTACCCAACCTTTTATTTAGTGTTAATGCACTGGAAAGCAGATACCTCAGTTATGATCCATCACAAACTATCTAATATGCTGATAACACTAAGGGCCAATTTGTATTTGCTTAAGTTTCCATAAATTGCATTGGAATGTCTCTCATTCCTATTCTACAAAGCTGTGGTGGAGGAGAACAACGCAGATGTATGAAAAGGCTGAGATCATTCCTCCTGACTCAGTTTGTACTGCCTGTTGTTGCCAAGAACTTACAGTAAGGCCGTTTCGTGGAAAAAGGTTGTCTTTGTGGTCCCTAGACAATATGCTGCTTCATTTTTGCATTTCTTATACAGATTACAAGAAAAGTGGAAGATTGATCTGTATTTATACACATGTGAAGATAACATTTGCCCAAATTCATTCAATAAATCCATGGCAAAACAGAGTGTAACTCTGCTCTTCTGAGTCCTATTCCAGTACTCTATCCACAAGGTAATCTTGTCTTTGTTGTTGTCGGTAGTAATTTACCAAGCCTTAAATCATCAAGTTCTGCTTATTTTAATGTCAATGTTTGGTACTAAAAATAACATTGAGTTTGGCTCATTGTGCCTCTCTCAGTTGTTTTAGTTTCCTATAGAAATGAGCATATGACACACTGGTATCCATGTCCTATTTTCTCCCCAAATATTTTTTAACCTGAGAGCATTTTATCTGCATTCAAGAGCCAAAATCTGAGGTAAGTATATTTTATAAGAAAGCTGGCTGCTGAATAGAAAAGGGAAATACAAATTTGTACTGCCTAAGGGGAAAGTTCTAGTGTGATTTCTTGTACCTGCTGGCCAGTCACTCTGTACACCCATACTCCAGGCTGCAGGGGAAGCTGGCAAGTTGGTGACATAGCAGGACAGGGAAGATATTGCAGGGAGAGGGAGATATGCTGGCAGGAGGAAGCTGAAATCACCGTGTTAGGGTGTATGAACACAGGGGACAAACTCATAGGAAGCCAGGCTTCATATTTTCTACTGCTCAGAAGAGCAAGCTCTACTTCTGTTTTCAGTAGAGCAGAAACACTAGTCAGGTGGTGGGCAATTTGCTGTTCTGACTGAGTCTGTTGCCTGAATGTACCATCACCGCTTAGAGATCTCACATTCTTATTTTCTTCCTATAAAGGAAGAAAGTAAGAATGCTGCCCTAGGCAAAAGTTTGGGTTGTTTTTTTCCATAGATCATCCCAAAAGGAAACTGCTCAGAAGGACATGCAGGCTTCCAAGCTTCCCAGAAATCTGGGGGCTACTGCCAGCTACAACAGAGTTAACTTTTTTGAAAGGGCTTGAAGGCAGTTTTGCTTTGCTAAACTAGCACTGGCAGAAATTCTTTTGAAGGGGATACAAAACCCCCTTTGCCTCTGAACATCAAAGCTGTTGCCTAAGTACCACTCCAACACCTACAGGCATCTTAATTAATCAAAATTATGAGCCCAGTTAAAATTATAACCCAGCTGTTAAGCCCTAGCCATTAAGCATCATCAAGCTTTATTTGGTTCCCTAAGAAACATCTTGATTAAATGTGTTGCAGTTAAGCAGAAGGTACTGTAGCTGTGGAAATGAGACAGAGGCTGTTTACAGTAGTATCCCAATAAACTGCAGGTTGTAATCTTGCCTTGTTCATGCATTCTGTCCTCCGGTTGTGGAGGCAGACCTACCATTCCCATTTTGACTTGTTCCTGCCTTCTGTCTGAACTACAGTTGTTATGCTGAAGTACACAGCCCAGCTTGCTCTGTGTTTCACCTCTCTGCGTGTTCCCCTGCATCCATGTACTGACCTTCTGAAGCAAAGATAGTTTCCTCATTCTACAGCCTGAGAAAGAGAAAACTCAGAAGACTTGCTCCAAATAAATGCTTGAGACAGGGTGAGAACTTAAATTTAGATTTTTCTCTTAAACCTGCAGTCTGCAGGTTTCTGGGCTGCTCTCATTCCCATCTTGCTCCAGGTCTGTTGCTGGTATCATAACATACCCCTTGTATTTGTTTTAAAAGGAATACAACTTCATTTTTCTGCTGTTCAGTTTAAAGTTTGTATCCAAAATTTCTATGTACTTCTTTCATTGTGTGAAACACTGCTTATTGGTATCTGCTTCCCTCTGTATGAAGTTTATCTAAAATGACTAAGCTGTATCTATGTGTACAGAAAGATCTCTCCCCAGCGGCCTACAGCCTAAGTAAGGAGACAACACTAGTATTGCTTCTTTCTCATCTAACCTTGGGCCTCGAGGCTCAGGGCATGCGACTGGGCTCCTGTGGGCAAAGCAGAGCTCTGCAGGATCCCTTGCAGTCTGCAGTGCACGCTGATGCTCAGAGGAGTGGGAAAATACAAAAGAAACTCTCAGTGAAGTGACCTCTGTCCCCTAAGGCTTCCTAGATTTTTTCATTCAGGTAGCAGGTGACTGCTTTTAACAGAATCTTCTCTGGATGTTTGGCAGCACGGACTACTGGATATACAGCAAAACAGATCCATGGGCACGGGCTCACACCAGTGCCAAGCCGTGCAGGCAGTGCCTCAAATATGTCCAGCAGGCTCACTGTGTGCTCACGCATCCTTTGCTTGTACACCTCTTCATGCTGGAGTCAGTACCTTTGAACCTGCTGGTGTTGGCAGACCTTTACCACCTTCTCTGCAGCACCTGCAGCTTGGATTCATCTTTATTCTCTGAGATCCCCTTCAAGAGCTGCTGCCATGGACAGTCAGTCACTGTTGTCTGCCTATTGTCTTGGCTCCAGGGAAGGTCCCTGGAATCTGCTGAGAGTTGGGTTATAATCTTCACAAACAGGAAGAAATTCCTTTTGTGTCTTTCCTCACTCTCTTTGTCTTCTCCTTCAGATAGATTTTACTTTTAGATTGTGATGCAGAACAGCCAGTCCCCATTTTACCTTTTCTCTCCTGATTCTTTGTTCCGTCGTTGTTTCGGGGAACTCTGATCTCTGATCTCCTTTCCTAAGTACTTTGTCTCACTTGCCTTGGTCATTCCCACATTAGGATATTTCTCACCAGAGTCTCCTCACAGGTTGCAGTTGACATATCTGACCCTTGCTGGATGTACCAAATGTTGGTGAAGAGTGTGATTCATGTCCCCTCACTCAGCTTAATGCCAGGTGAAGTATTTTGTTCTTCCTTGCTATGCATCTGGTCTGAGTGCACGGGAAGGAGACACAAGCAGGAGCACCACAGGAGAAACCTGGATTGTGTTAAGGCAGTTCTATTGAAGGACCACAACACAAAAGCAGCAGATGCTGCAGGTCAAGGCAGAGCTGTGCGAGGAGCATTGACAGAACTGAGGAAGGGACTCTTGGCAGAGGCACAACCTGCTTGAGTTTATACTTCACATGTAGCCAGCCCCATAGGTCCCTGCTGCAAATAGGGCTTGTTGTGAAGCAATGAGCCAATTCACAAAAACTCAGAATCATTCAGAATTTCAGCCTTTCCCAAGACCTGAAAAGTTTCTTTCTGCTTCCTGATGTGTCTTTCTGTGTCCCAGATGAGTACTTAAAGTTTTTGAGATCCAGTCCAGGGCAACAGTGACAGACAACACAGGAGTGCCTTTGATTTTAGAGTATTTCTCTCAATCCATTGAAACGTTTGACCACTTTGGGCTTACTCATCTCAAGGTCTCCTTTTCATCTCTTTTCTCTGTCTTCACACACTTATTTCTGTGTCGTGGGTTAGGCCGATCCGGCAA